AATTGGTAAACGCTGATAAGAAAACTTTAGCTGAGTGTGGTACACACCTTTAATCGAGGCAGAGGCAGAAGTAGGCAGATCTCTGTAAGATCAAGGCCAGCCTGGTCTATATAGTGAGTTCCAGGCCAGCTAGGTTTACAGGGAGACCTTGCCTCAAAAAAACCAAAAAAAAGAAAGAAAGAAAAAGAAAACATTATTACTTGTTCTGTTCCTCATTCCAAGTGAAAGCAGTGTAATCTGGTTTTTTTCTTCTTCTTGTTTGTTTGGATGTTTTTGAGACAGGGTCTCCTTGCCCAGGCCAGCCCTGTCTGAATTCATAATGCTTTTGCTTTATTTAGCCTCCCTACTGGCCTGAGCAGCTGGGAATGGCAATCTATTTCTTATTATGTATATTTTAGTCTAAATCAGGAATTAGCAGATTGTAACCCTCAGGCCAAAGCCAACCTGCTGTCCATCTTTCCAAATAAAGTTTTATTGGAACACAGTCATGTTCATTCTTGTACGTAGTACCTGTGCCTGCTCTCAGAGTGCTGCCTGAGTTAACGAACTGGTTTAGACGTGCCCGCCCATGTGGCCTGCAGAGCCTGAGATGTTTGCAGAAGCAGTCTGCTTCTTCCTGTCGTGATGGGCTTTAATCACTGTCCTGTTTGCATCTGGAACATCATCTGTTTTTTTCTCCTATAGATTGTTGACAGACTTTTAGGTGTGCTAACAAAATGTCCTTTCAATTTGTAGGACTTAAACTGTCTCATGGAGAGATACTTGAAGCCTCTTCAAAAGGAAACTTTTCTCACCCAGGATGAGGTATGGTGGAAACTGTCTTACTACTGTGAGGGGCACACTGTAGTTTGACTTGCTGGTAAACGGGGATTGTAAGCACACATACAATTGGAAATTTCTTGAGTCCATTTGTCATAGCCGGTCAAACAGCTGTCAGCCTTGACATACACTTGTAACATGGGGGGGGTGCCCCATTCTCTAGAGGAAGGCCATCATCCTAATTGATAAGTATTCAGAAAAAATCTTATAACAAGTATAGATAGACTTGCTGAACTCTCATGCAAGATGGGGTAGATTAAATTTTTTTCCACTTGCAGCTGGATGTACTTTTTGGAAATTTAACGGAAATGGTAGAGTTTCAAGTAGAATTTCTTAAAACTCTAGAAGATGGAGTGAGACTGGTTCCTGATTTGGAAAAGCTTGAGAAAGTCGATCAATTTAAGGTAAACCACATTCTCGAATTGCTTAAAGCTGGCCCCTTAATGTCAGTGCTGGGTTGTCTGGTGGGTCAAGATGATACCGTGTTGCAGGTAGCTTTCTGCTCTAGGGAAGTCGTGTTGCTCATGGTATTGAGGCCTTCATTAGACCCTCCAGTGGGGTCATTCATCAGGACAACTGGAGGGGAATCCTGGGTATCTTTCTTGTGTGGCTAAAGGAAAACTTGTTGACAATTAGACTTGTTTTTCTGCTGATGTCTACTTTGGAAGATATGGACCTTTTGTGTTGTTTATGAGGGGTCCTGTAATACATTACCTATTAACAAATTAAAATAGCACCTCTGGTCTCTCAGCAAACACAGCAGTTTATTCTGCTCTGGGGAATTTTGCTGGTTAGAAATGCTGGCTACCATCCATCCAGTTACAGTGTCCTTGTGCCTTTAATGGGGGTGTGTGACTTGTGCTTAAGCAAGGATGCTCAGGGCTTATTTCTTCTTCCCTGGTTCTTTGATTGCAGGAATTTCTTGTTGAACTTCCTGTCAACAAAATTCATTGATGTGTGTATAGGCTTACGTATCGCCCTCTTGTGCTTTTAAACATCAGATCTCAATTGAGGTCTAATTGAAAATAACGCTGTGCATATTTGAAGTACAGAATAAGATGAATTGTGTGTGTGCAAAGTTCTAGGTTCAGCCACCCGAGCAAGCACACATGCATGCATGCATGCACGCACGCACACACGCGCGAGGATATAGTACAGTCAGGACAATGACTTTAGTCATCTCCTGAAAGCCAGTATCAGTCTCCTTGTGGTTTCTCCCTCCTGTCCCTTCCTACCTCCCACCCACAGGCAGCCATGCCCTGCTTCCTTCCTGGTACTATAGATATGTCTCATAAGTTTGATGAAATTTCCTCTTGGGAATTTGCACACAGGCCTGTGGACCTTCAAAGTCCTGCAGGTGAGCAGCTGCAGTTGGAGTGTAGGAACACTGACTGCCATTGTGTGCACCCCTGAGATTTGTTTCTAAGATCAGAAAAACAAATGAATGCCTTACTGTTTAATCTATGGTTACGGTATGGTAAACAGTAACTGTTGAACTAAACAAAGGAATGGTTTTAATGTGGCTAAAGGGAGGCTTTTACACACAGTATTTCTTAGCTTTTCTTGTTTAATTTGTGATCACGACTCAAAGGGTAACCACACATCTCTCAGCTTGTCCGCTCCTGCTGATACTGTTCTGATAAGGCACCTGGGAAGCAAAGAAGAGTTGAACACAGGCAAAGAGAGTTTAGGTCTCTGATACTGGTGATGCCAGTTAAGTGTGGTCTAAAGTAGACTTTTTCTCTTATCAGTGGACTGTCAGAACCTTTACTGCATTGTGCATCAAGTAAACTGTACATTTTGGAACCCAATTTATCATTTACATCTGAAGCCTTACTCCCTTGGAATCTAACTTTAATTCTTTTTAAAAAGAATTATCATTAATATTGGGGAGGCCACAAGCATACCATGGTACACATGCAGAGATCAGAGGATAACTTTGTGAAGTTGGTTCTTTCCTTCTACCTTTTAAAAAAGTTTTATTTGATGTGTATGAGAGTTTTGCCTGCATGTAAGTGCATCCATGTTGTGCAGTGCCCACAGAGACCTGAGGAGGGCATTGGATCCCCTAGAACCCAAGTTGTGGATGGTTGTTAGCTACCATTTAGGTGCTGGGAACTAAACCCAGGTCCTCTGCAAGAGCCAGTGCTCTTAACATAGAACCAGCCCCTCTCTTTCTACTTGTACAGAAGTTCCAGGGATAAAACTTAGGTTCCCAGGCTTATATCACAGATGCCTTCACTTGCTGAGCCATCTCACCAGCCCCCTAACCTTTCATTCTAATCCTAATGAATAAAGTCTGTCTCTGAGCAAGACTAGATCCAGATGAACCTTATAGAAGGTGTTGTCCTGAGATTTATCATTCACTCATTGACATAAAATACAAGTCATGTAGAAAATCCCATCAGGCTGTCCTAACAAGAAAGGCCTACACTGGTTTTGACGCTCTGGGGGCAGGCAGGGTGTCCGCAGTTGAGCATGACTCTTACTTCGTATTGCTTATGTTCTTTCTCCTGGGAGAGGACACGGGGGCTTTGAGAAGGCAGAGACAGCTACTAGGGAAATGTGTTTTCTGCCCTGGAGATGTAAGCTTTTTCTACCTCTGCTTGGTTCATCATTTCTGTCTCCCAACAGGAGTTCATGAGAGACTTGAGGAGATTTCTGCTTTTCCCCAAAGTCTATTTTTCTCATCAACATTCAAGCATCTCTGACATTTACTGTCCTTAGAAAGTCAGGGACATTGCTATTATAAATACTGAGAAGGAAAACCCAACATCTATCACACGCATTTTAAACCTGCATCCTTTTTCCTTGGTCAACCTTAGGATATTAGTGAACATAAAAGGCTTCATTGGGCACGGAGATGCTGATTGCTGGGGAGAGCCAGGCAGATGTGAGCTCCCTCTCTCTCCTGCTGCTAGGTCTAAAGGAGGAGGAAAATGAACCCACTATACCTTTTCTCGTTCCTCCAGAAAGTGCTGTTCTCTCTGGGGGGATCTTTTCTGTACTACGCTGACCGCTTCAAGCTCTACAGTGCCTTCTGCGCCAGCCACACAAAAGTTCCTAAGGTCCTGGTGAAAGGTAAGGCCTCTGAGGATTGGGTGGCGGGCAGGTGTATGGTTTGCAAATTCACATTTGTGTAGCTGACTGGCAGATGGCTTTCAGACATTCTGAGTCATGATGTGTGAGGCTAATGTTCCCCACAAGCAATGATGTGGGTACTGAGAAGGCAGGCGTGTGACTGCCTTGAATTCATCGTTTATCAGTTTTCTTAATAATCAAAGTTTTGACTTGGCTGTTTTGCTCCGGAATCAATTGGTCATCATACAGTGATGTAAAAACACAGGGAGTTTTAAGACCCTTGTTTTATTCTTATTTTTCATTGATTTTTATGGTAAGTCACCCTGCTGCATAAGCTCTTTTGTGGAATTTCACCTTTTAGTTGCTTGCTTGTTTTTTTTTTTTTAATTAAAAAAAAATTGTATTAGTGTTATGCTGCATGCTTGCAAGTGCATCTGTGTCATGCAGTGCCCTCGGAGGACAGAAGAATGTGTCAGACGTCCTGGAACTGGAGTTACAGACAGTTGCTAGCTGCATGTGGGTTCTGGGATTTGAACCCAAGTCTTCTGCAAAAACAGCCAGTGCTCTTAATTGCTGAGCCATCGCTCCAGCCCCTCTTTGCTTGTTTTTAGTCCTAAGTGTGTGATAGCAGTCATCAGTGCCACTACTGAAGTTGGCTCCTTTATTCACAAAAAATTGCTCTAATTTCAGTCATTTTTGCACAGATCAAAGTAGAGTTTTTAGTTGACAAAGTTCTCTTCCCTTCCCCTTCCTCCCTCTCCTTTCCTTCTCTTTCCCCAACTCCTACCTTTCCCCTCTCCTCCTTTTTTCCACCCTCTTCTGCCTCCTCCTCCTATCCTTCTCTCTCCCTAAGACTCAAACCCAGGGCCTTGTTTGTTCAAGGCAAGCACTCTGCCACTGAGCTACACCACCAGCCCAGATACTTCCCCTAAGTGTTTAGAGAAAATAAACATTCTACTATGAGTCTCCAGAAACCTTCTGGCTGTAGTTCAGTGTATGGTGTTGGGGGATAGGTAGAAAGTTGACCTTTCAGGAATGAAGAAAAGAATTGTGGTTCCCAGAGGCTGAGATGGGTAGAGGATAGGATTAACAGGAAGAGGTTGGTTAACAGACAAACAGTGCAACTAAATAGAAGGGACAAGTTCTAGTGTTCTGTAGCACAGTAGAGGGTATAGCTCGGTGGAGTGAGTGCTGGCCTTAGACACAGAAAGCCCTGGGTTCAATCTCCAGTATCCCCCCTTCCTCCCACCAAAGCATGGTAGAGTGATGATAGTTAACAACTAGAAAAGTCTTTGAATGTTCTCAACACAAAGAACTGAAAAAAATGTGATCATCCTGTGTACATGTTAAAATACTACATTATATCCCATGAATATGTACAGGTTTTAAATACTATTTTAAAAAACTTATTTCAGATCCATTGAGGCAGGACACATCTGTAATTCTAGTACTCAGGAAATTTGAATGATAGGTAGGATCTTGAGTTCAAGGCCAGCCTGGACCATATGGGAAGACCTTGTCTTTAAAAAAAAAAAATCTACTTCTATTGAATTAAAGTTTTCTTATGTGTATTTTACATTAACATATATAAAGAAATCTCTTCCCCAAAAATAAATATTAAAGAAACACTTCTTTGGTAAACAGAATCAATGGAAGGTTTGGCTTCAGTATTCTTGGGACGTCAGCGTGTTTTTTCTCAACATTACCTTGCACTTATCATGAAAACATCTGCTGACTGGGTCCCTGGATGTGTAATTTCCATGTGTTGTATTTCTCTTTGCTACCAAAGAGAACTAACTTGACTTAATTAAAAGTGATTATAGGATATACCAATATAATACAGGGTTCTGAAAAATAAAACACCCTGCCCAGATAATTTGAGGCATTCTGGGAGTGCTAGTTCATGCAACAGGTTCTAGAAATGTCCCTGTCATACTATCTGATCTTACCCATGTTTTTATACATGCTGTATTGGTTATTGTGTGTGTGTGTGTGTGTGTGTGTGTGTGTGTGTGTGTGTGCTAGAACTTTTATTGATTGCTAATCGTTATCAGATTGCTAAAATAACCATTTTAGAGTTGTTTGCTCTGTAGTACAAATTATGTATATATTACATTCCTTCACGCAAATTAGTACTTTTTAATC